AGAGATGATGTCGAATATGCGGCCCATCGGGAATATGTCTCACCCCTTACTTTGCGAATGATGTATGGTTTCTTCCACTGCTTGGAAATCTTTTGATAAAGTTAGTTTCGTTGTCAGATATATTTAAATTTGTCAATGGTACAAAGGGTAAGCAACTTAAGCTGATACATATTTAGCGCAGTACTTACTCCCTAAAATAATATATTTTTTTCTAGGTATTCCAGATTTATTAAATTTTATTAGTGAAATCGATAGTGCCTGGCAGCTTTCTCTTGTTTTAATTCAAGGCACTGGATAAGCAGATGTGTATGGGTACATTACTGGGGTGCCTTATTCTAAAAAACTATATTCTAAATTGCCTATTTATACTTAATTCGGAATGGTAGTTGGCGAGCATACGTAGGCTTTTGATAAATTCTCATCAGGCCTCACCTTAAAATATGGGAGGGGGGTAAAAAATAAGCATGCGGGCAATTACGTTCATCATAACATGCAAATTATTCATGTGAATAGGGGAGGGATTTGGGGTTGAAAATGGGCGGTTGGTTATGCAGCAGGGGTAAGGGGAAGGAAAAGAGATAGCGCGGAAAATTGCAGGCATTTATATGACCCCTGCCCATGCCAAGCTCGGAGCTTGCAGGTGGTTCTTTTGCGTGCTCAATTATGATAATTAATTGTAGGAGCATCATTGTAAACCATGCTATGTCCAAACTTTGCTAAGAGGATCAAGACGCATGTACTAACAGCAATCAGCCAGCCTGTTGAAGCTCTCTTAATGAGTTTAAATAAACGTGCGTGTCTGTCATGTTTGAAAGTAGCTGTTTAAAGAACGTACGTCAAGAATTTTCCTGAAGGAATGCTTGTAAATTCTGTTAATTAAAGAAGGTTCCATTGATTATTTCCTAAACCTATATTATACGATGTGATGACTGTCTTCGACGTATAATTTAAGTGATGATCATATCGGTTTTCACTAACTTCCCTACGGTCTTTGCAGTTTTCTCGTTTGGCATAAGTGACCGCTATTTTAGAAGGCGTATCTGTTTCAAATAAATAAATTTGTAAACATTTTTATTATTATTTTATTTAAGGTTCTGAATTGAGAGATCTTTCACGCGAAGAGTACGGACGCAGGTTTTGTGTGGAAACTGGTGCAAGGCTTAACATCCTCTGCATACAGTCAACTCAATTTAAGAACGATTCTCTTTCCAATTCATTTCGAATCAGTGAGGTCCGGCCCGACCTCAGACTGTTCTTTTTAATCTTAAACCTGTTTCTCATATCGGAAGGACCAAATATTTTGTCTCGGTATAAGTGCATAAAATGTGGCGATAAAACTGGCTGCTTATGCTCGCATATTCCTCAACTCATTGATTTTACTTGTCCATAGAGTTTTAGTGGCTGTTATTATGATGCCTTTGCGTTTTCATTTGCCCGTCGTTACTGACAGTGTCAGTCAAGTGTGCACAGCTATTTTTTGCGCACGGACTGCCTTTTGCACATGAATTAGTTATTTTGATAGGCAATTTGTACGGTATCTGCGGACTTATCTTTCTTTCCTTCTCTTACCTACCTGGCTCCTGTGGCAATATAGAATGAAGAAAGCAGGCAGCGTGATCAGTTGCAATGACTGACAAGGCTACTTTGTCCGTCTAAACATGCCACACAAGTTCCTTTTTCGCGCACAATGGAGCAGGCTTTCATACAAATAGCAGAAGCGCGGCTTGGGTCCTAAATGAGTTTGAGTGTTCTAGCGAACATAGTAAGAGGTACCCTGAATCTTGGTTCTGAAGAAGGCTCCATCTATCCTGTTGATTGTCAGACTTCCAAGTTACAGCATTTAGCGTACCCTGATGTAGATACATGACAAAAGAATAATGGGCGTTCATCGGGAGAGGTTTATTTAATGGCTTACGTTTAGGGAAGTGGCTTTGTCAATGCATCTTTAGAGACTGGTGAGACCCAATGCCACTGCTGGTATTGCCGGGTTCTGCACAAGGAAAGGAGTGGCGGTTTCAGTCTCTGAAGATTGGCAACTG